TAGGGGGGGGGGGGGTGCCCAAGTTTAGTCTTGCCTTGGGTAGCGCATAACCAAAATACAACACTGACAAGATGGTAAGGATCCCTGAAGCCTCTTTGTAGCCACTTTCTGCCTACATGCACTCATGCTGCATGGCATTTCTCAGTTCGGGTTTTCCTGACGGTGACAAAAGTGGCCCATGTCTGCATAATGTATTTCGAAACAGCCACTTGCAGTCTCCATCAGAAGCCCTTGTGACGGGGTGACAATGCAGAAGCACAACTGGGGGACAGGGAGATAACAATGTCACGCTATAGCAAGGGGTGCCTGAACAAGGACCATCATTGCAGGATCACCAGGTATTATTTTAATGAATGCTGCCGATTTAAAAAAAATATAGAGAATGGCTTTTGAAATTGCATTATCATGTTGCAAGCTTATATGCAATTTTAGAGATTGGCTTTTACGTATATATTTGAGGGGGAATAAAGCGCAAAGTTTGCACTGGAGTGGGACCAGCAGTCCAGCAGCCTGAATAGAATCGGACAGTCTAGCTCGTTCAAATCTCTATTGCATAAAGGGTTGCATACGGCTTCATAAATGAACCTTCATGCAAGGGAGGAGAAATCTTTTGATGCATAACATGAGTACAATTTTTACTTAAGAGGAAACAGTCCCATCCTTCACTATACATCATGGATTGGTAGATGTTACGTAGGCGGGTATGCAACGAATAGTGGTACAGGATCAGCTGTGAAGGAGTTAAGAGCATAGCATGGCCTCAGCATGGGTTGGCAGTGGTTCCCAGGCTGAATCTGCACCTTAGAGAAAGTTTTAATGTGTGACACCCCCACCGCTCCATTGCGTCCTCTACGCCCCCCCTTCCTCTCTCCAAACCCCCCACCACCCCCCATTCGCCCCGCTCTCAGTTTCCCCCTTTTAATTTAAAGGCACATTACCTCCCCACACGCAGGTCTGTCCAGTTCTTTCTCCTCCCCTTCCTGTTCCTATCCCTTTCCTCCCTGCTACCCCCAACCCTCCCCTGTCCTTGCATGCAGTATTTAAAGGGGCACTGCTCCTTCCTGGGGATGGCTTTTCATTGTACAGGCTGGGTGTTAACCCTTTCATTGCTACTGTGCGATGTATAACAAGTATCACAAGGAGACAGTGTCTCACCAAGAACAATGGGAGTGAATTTGCATTACAAATGCAAGCCAAGGACAACAAATATTGTGTAGGTGGACTGACTGCTAATTACTGGAGCTGTTACTTCAGTTCTCTAGGGAGAACATTTCCCTTCCTCCAGCAAACAGTGGACGCTGAAATTCTAAAATTCATACATGCAGAAGACGGACATAAACAGAGATATATTAAAGTGACACTAAACTCCGGAGTTAAATCTTACAGCAGTATGTAAAGCGCTGCGTAAATTGTCACCGCTATATAAATACTAGACATGTGCACAGCAAACGGAAAAAGTTTCCATTCGTTTCATCAAAGAAAACAAATTTTTCTGCTGTTTCAGATTTGGAGGCAACGAGCCTCCGAATCCAAAATCGCACACTGAGAATGCAGAACGGGCGGTGGCCATGTCGGCCGCCGGCGCGTTCTGCCATTGCGCGCCGTCATCTTTGATTGTATCTTGGTATACACCAAGATGGCGGCGATCCTATGTTCGGGCACCGCTATCTTGGTGTATACCAAGATATACTCAAAGATGGCTGTGTATCACTCGGCTGTAGATCCTCAAATCATCTTTGAATTGGTGCTGACACTGTCCTTCCTTCTGGAGGGTGGCTACTTTTGTTCGTCATGGTCCCTGTGTGTGATGTAAAGTAGTCACTGCTCCAAGCTCACTCCTGTGATGGACTACAATCTCAATACAAATGAGTAAACTAAACATGAGATTGTAGTCCATCACAGGAGTGAGCTCGGAGCGGTGACTACTTTACAACACACACAGGGACCATGGGGAACAAAAGTATCCCCCCTCCAGAAGGAAGGACAGCGTCAGCACCAATTCACAGATGATTTGAGGCTCTACAGCCGAGTGATATACAAATAGGATACATTTTTGTTATTAATTAAGGTACTTGATGCATTTTGAAGATTTAACTCCTGAGTTTAGTGTCACTTTAATTACTTTTCAAATGTGGAATTTGCATTAGAACATTAGTTTATCTCAAGGTCAGCCCATGAGGTCTAAGTTGAGCCTTTGATATAATAATATGTTGTTATTATTATTCTTTTACTATTATTATTATAGCGCTGACAATTTGCGCAGCACTTTACATACTGTTCAGCTGTATGGACCAGAGCTATTTTTACATGTCTGCTATGGGCCTGTTTATTTAGCAAAAACTTTGTCAACAAACTAATAATATACATATATCTTTTTGTTTTTTGTTTGTTTGTTTTGTTTAAAAGACAAAAAGGCTTTCTTTTGATGATTCTTTTGTAAACAGTATTGTAATTTTTATGCAATTTATAAACAAAATATGTAACTTTACAGTATATCATATTAAACATTCATTTTATGCTATTTTGATCAGTGTGAGTTTTGAAAAAAAAAAATGTTACTGTAGTTGAAAAGTAATACATTTTATCCTAAAATTGGTCTTGTTTAAAATGACACTAATGTTATAATTCTGGCACCAAGCATTTCAAAGCTGTGTGAAGTTGGCAGGTTTTACAAACATGGGGTGCCAACTTCACACAGCTGCATTTCAAAGCTATTTAAAAATAAAACAAAGCCTTCTTTTTAAATTTTACACATTTTATTTTTTATTGCGATGCTAAAAAAAATGAATGAACTCAAGGATTAGAAATCAATTATAATAGTAAAAAAAATATCTGGAAAATAATAGTTAAAGTGGAACTTTACCCATATCTTTAAAATAACAACAAACACACCTATAGAATTGTTTAGTGATGACAATCTACACTTCTAGATAATTGCCAGCTTTGTATTCGTTGCATACCTTTATCTTTTCCTTCCCAGTCTTCTCACAGTGGCCATGTTTACTAAGGGCAGATTACTAGCTCACCTATTACTTCCTGGATTTCTGGGACTGGCACATGTGTCTAGACATGTGACTAGGACATGTGACCATACACATCAT